TGTGCTGCGTACTTGTGCTCCTGAGTTGGCTCCGGTCTTAACGCGCCTTTTCCGGTACCTGTACTCGCTCGGCACTGTCCCGAAGTGCTGGAAGACCGCTTTGATACATCCGATCCCTAAAAAAGGCGATCGCTCTGGTCCGTCCAACTATCGCCCAATAGCTATAACCTCCTTGTTCTCCAAAATAATGGAATCCATTGTTAATTGCCAGCTCTTGAGGTATCTAGAGGGCCACCAGCTGATTAGCGATTATCAGTACGGCTTTCGTCGTGGTCGTTCGGCTGGTGACCTTCTTGTATACCTTACACATAGATGGGCAGAGGCAATTGAGTCCAAGGGGGAGGCGCTAGCGGTTAGTTTGGACATAGCGAAAGCCTTCGATCGGGTGTGGCACAGAGCACTGCTCTCGAAGCTTCCAGCCTATGGGCTTCCCGAGAAATTACGCAATTGGATCTCCAGCTTTCTGGCCGATCGGAGCATCAAGGTCGTCATCGACGGAGCATGTTCCGACCTAAAACCCGTAAACGCTGGGGTCCCACAAGGCTGTGTTCTATCCCCGACCCTATTTCTTCTGCATATCAATGATATGTTGAAACTTAGCAACATTCATTGCTATGCGGATGACAGTACTGGGGATACTTTTTACACTGGCCGGGCAGGTATTTCTCGGGCAGTTGTTGATGAGTACCGGAACAAACTTGTGTCTGAAGTTGAAACTCTACTTCGTGGAGTCTCAGATTGGGGCAGACAAAACCTAGTCCAATTTAACCCCAAGAAGACACAAGTTTGCGCGTTTTCCGCTAAAAAACACCCTTTGTCGCTACTCCTCTTTTCGAAAACACTCTTCTTAAAGCCACAGCCAGCATTGGAATACTTGGCGTTGACATATCGAGCGACGTTCAGTTTCGCGGTCACTTGGAGGGAAAGGCTAAATTAGCCTCCAAAAAGCTTGGTGTGCTCAGTAAGGCGAGACGGTACTTCACTCCGGGCCACCGCATGCAACTATATAAAGCGCAAATTCGGCCCCACATGGAGTACTGCTCTCACCTCTGGGCGGGGGCTCCCCAGTACCAGCTCCTTCCACTTGACCGTATACAACGCAGAGCGGTTCGAATCGTTGACGACCAATCCCTCTCCGAGCGGCTTGATCCTTTGGCGTTGCGTAGAGATGTGGGGTCACTCTGCATCTTCTACCGCATTTACCATGGAGAGTGTTCAGAGGAGTTGTTCGGATTAATACCTGCAGCTGAGTTTCATCATCGGACGTCGAGGCAGAATACGAAATTCCACCCGTATCACCTCGACGTCCGACGTTCCACAACTGAGCGTTTCTCAAGGCAGTTTTTGCCGCGCACCACCACTATGTGGAACCAGCTGCCCACTGAAGTATTCCCGAACCAATTCGACTTAGGGTCCTTCAAGAAAAGAGCGTACCAATTTTTAAAAGGCCGGCAACGCACTCGCGAGCCCTCTGGCATTGAGAGTGTCCATGGGCGGCGGTATCACTTAACATCAGGTGAGCCTCCTGCCCGTTTGCCCCCGTTCTATAAAAAAAAAAAAAAAAAAACAAATAAATTACAGTGTATTAAAGACATAAAAAGGTAAGTTTTCACCAAATTTCGTGGGAAAAAAATAAATTTTGTAAAAGATAAAAATTAAAAACCAAAAACATGGTTTTTTGCATTTTTCACATAAATTTTGAGGTTATATGAAAAATGTGTAAATACAAAAGTTTTAGATCTTTTTATTACCTACAACTTTGCCATTTGACTTTTTTCCATAGGACTTTTAGTTTTGCCGGAAATCGAGATTGCCCCCCCTACCCCTTCCCGACCTCAGATCGCCCGTAAATTATTTTTCCTTTAATTTTTGTAATATTCTCCTCCATTTCCAATGGGTTTCATCCTACTATTATTTTTTTAGGTTTCAAAAATTATCGATGGTCTAGCTACGGGTTTGGTAAAAAGCAATTTATTCCTCAATAGACCGAATAAACACGAAGATACCCCAAGTATAGTAATAAAACCATAATCCCTTAGAAATACGAATATAAACATTTAAGCTTGTTTAACATAGTTATTTTAGGTCGAATTAAGTTTAGGGGATTCCCTACAAATTAATGTCGTATTGAATTGTAGACGTTATAAGGTCAAGTGTAGGTAGACTTTTTAATGAAATTCTCAACCTTTGAAAGATATAAATGTCAGTGGTACGTAATTATAGCTAATAAAATATATTGTTATGTATATACTTTACTTTGGTATAATATTTAGAGAAAAACATAAGGAATTGTGGAATGCCTTGGAGGAGGCTTTTACCCATTGGGACCATAAATATACATACATTTTATTTTTTACTTACTGTGAATCTCTATTTATTTTCATATGTGTTTGTATTTTTATATAACAAAATAAAGCTATATTGGTATCAGATTTAAATTAGTAGAAGACCGTCGCCAGGGGGCCCTATTGAATCATTGTTTAATTTGTCAAAATGTTATTTACACTTGCATCATACATTTCCCATCGCCTTCTTCTACTGACCTTCTGCCCCACCTTGCCGACGGCTGGCAACACCCTTGGTGTTAGGTACTACGGGTAATCCAATGGCAAGATACATAGAAAGAAGTATGTATTTGCTGGAATCATAACAACTTTACCTATTCTCTTCTCTCGCATTCTATTTTATTCGCATTATATTCCTCCCACTAGGGAATTCATTATCACAAAAAGCAGGATCTTATTCCATTTATAGATAACGTATAGATTATGGATGAAATATTTATATTAATCAAATTTGAAAATAACTGTATTTCAAAAAAGTTAGAGTATATGTTACTGATTATAGTTTCTAAGCGTTCTTACTTATAATCTATAGTTTGGGGTTTGAAACAGGCATAATATATGTATGCTATATGAAACTTTACGGTTCCTATTAATTATATATCTAAGAGAAACTTTAGACCCCAAATTATTAATTCTTCAGTAATCTTAACTAAAACTTTGCATACTACAATATTTCAAAATGCTAATTTAAATTCTACGCAAACTATTCATGAATATTACGTTGAATAAACAATTGGGGTGCGAGAAGTTGTTTTCGGTGCACTTCACAACGTATATATTTGGATATATAACTTTACCAAAGTGCGGTTTTTAGCCGCAGGCGATTTAACAAAACCGCAAAAGCCAGATGAACATACAACTACGAACGCTGAAAATGACAACTACTATTAATACGAACTTTAAGGGGATGCTGTATTAGTATCAATAGCAATACAATGAGTCTGACTAAGTATTAACCGTAAAATATATATTTGAAATACTATGAAAATAAAAACTATTCTAACATTAAACACTGAATAATATAATAATAACCTTGAGGTCCGTCGTTCCAAAACTGAGCGTTTCTTAAGGTAATTTCTATGTGGAACCAGCTGCTCACTGAATTATTTTCGAACCAATTCCACTTAAGGTCTTCAAGAAAAGAGCTTACCAATCCTTAAAAGGCCGGCAGCGTTGCGAGCCTTCTGGCAGTGCGAGTGTCCATTGGCGGCTGTATCACTTAACATCAGGTGAGCCTCTTGCCCGTCTGCCTCCTGTAACAGAAAAAAATATAAAAATATTCTAGTTAAACATATTAAATTAGGGTTAAATAATTAAGCAGTAGTACAAAATAAAGAAAATGTTTATTATCAAATGTAATACACAAAGCACAAAGTTAGAGACACATTGGCGAGAGCACAAAAAAATAACAGAGCAGTACAACATCGAACCTTCCTCTTATCAAGACAGTGTTGCCTTACAAAAATACAATCAATTATTGTGGAATTGAACACTAACACCCACTCCCAATTCTACAAACCATAAATACAAAGTTAAACATTTATTAGGTTCAATTTATTACAAAAATAAACAAGCTTATTTAAAGGCAATGCCTTAGTCATTAAGTCTCCCAACTGTTCACAAGACTCTATATAGATTAATTTTATTCTATCCTTAGAAATTAAATCTTTAACAAAATGAAATCTAACATCAAAATGTTTAGATCTTTTAGTTTCCATAGTTTGGGCAATCTTTATGGTTCCTTGATTGTATTCAAAAACTGTAATAGAATTTCTAATATTAAACAATTCAAATACCAACTCATCCAGAATAATAGATTCCAATAAACTGAAAGCAAGAGCATAATATTCTGCTTCACAAGAACTAAGAGCAACCAAGGATTGCTTCTTAGAACACCAACAAATTGCATTATCATTAATTTTAATTACATAACCTGAAGTGCTTTTCCTATCGTTAACATCAAATGCATAATCAGCATCTACAAAAACATAAATATCAAAAGTGTTATTCTCAGATTTTTTAAAATTTAAACCTATACATAAAGTATATTTCAAGTATCTAATTATATGTTTCAAATGCTTCCAATGGCTTACATCATAACAGTTTTGGAATCTTCCAAAATAAGAAACGCAAAAACATAAATCAGGGCGGGTGCATAACATAAGATACATCAAACTACCAACTAATTCTTTATAAGGGACTTTCAAATTTACATCAATGTTATTAGATTTGGTCAAATTGAGTTTAGGTTGAATTGGTATCTTACTAGGCTTACAGTCGGTCATATTAAATCTCGAAATAATTTTCTGAATAAGAGCGGTTTGACTAAGCATAATACTTCCATTTTCATTCCAAAGAATTTTTATACCCAAGAATTGCAATTCTTCCGATGAAGTTAGATCCCTAACATCAATAATAGCAATTAAATGAGATTTAATACTTTTAAGATCATTTAATGACTCAGATACTAAAAGGAAATCATCAACCCATACTAAAATAAATGTTGATCCCTTAACATATAAACAAGGATCTTTTTGAGATCTAGAAAACCCGATTTTTATAAATATATCATTGACAAAATCATTCCATGCTTTTGGGCTTTGTTTAAGACCATATAAAGCTTTTATTAATTTTAACACTTTTCCATCATCACACTTAAGCCAAATTACTTTTTAAAAAAGCTGATTTAACATCAAGTTGATGGATATGCAAACCTCGTTCAACAGCAACAGCCAGCAGGACCCGCAGCGTGGGAAGACGCGCAACAGGTGCAAAGATGTTCTCATCCTCAAGTGAGGGTTGTTGGTAGCCCCTTGAAACAAGCCTCGCTTTCTTCATAACTGCTCCATCGACGATCTTTGTCGTGAAAACCCACCGACTATCGATTACTGTGGCATCTATAGGACTATCCACCACTTCCCAAGTACCGTTGTCTTCCAATGACTTTAATTCTTCGTCAATTGCTTGTCTCCAACCCGCATCCTGAACTGCATCAGTATAATTATTCGGAACATCTAGATCTGATGATGCAGATAAAGCTAATGCATCAAAGGCAAAATTGGTTACAAAATCTTCCAAATACTTTGGAGGCTTTCTAATTCTTGAGGTCTTCTTAACAGTGTCAATATTCTTGTCTGATTGAAAATCTTCATCCTCTAAAATAGGCAAATCTTCATCCTCCAACATAGGCTGCAAAACTTGCTCAACATCTGAAGACTGAAAGACTTCAGATTTGGTCTCGTGGTCAACGCAAGGAATTTGGACAGTATCAGGATTAGTAAATTGGCCTTCATTTGTCAAATCGGTTGTCCTAGATTCATCGAATATGACATTCCTAGCAAATTCAATTTTCTTCTTATTTGGATTCCATAATCGGTAACCATTGTCACAGTACCCTGCCATAAATAGTCTCTTAGAACGCTCACACAGTTTTCCATTCCTATCCTCTTCATGGATCAATGAATAAACGGGACAACCAAATATTTTAATTTTACCTAAATCAGGTTTAAAGCCATACCATCTTTCTGCAGGCGTTACACCATTTGGTAGTGTAGAAGTAGGTAATCTGTTGATTAAGTAGATAGCTGTCATAATGGACTCACCCCACATATCCTTCTTAAAATCACTGTCAAATAAAAGACATCTCGCCTTTTCCAATATGGTTCTATTCATCCGTTCTGCTTTTCCGTTTTGTGAAGGATTCCTGGGCATGGTGTAGCTTATTCTAATACCCTCTGAATCACAAAAACGCACAAACTCATTAGACACATATTCACCACCTCTGTCACAACGTAGGTTTTTAATTGATAGTCCAAATTTAACTTCCGCCATAGCCTTGAATTATTTGAATTTTTGAAAAACTTCAGATTTATTCCTTAACAAATATGTACAACAAAAATTGCTATAATGATCAATAAACGTGACAAAGTAATTATAGCCATCATACGTTTGGGGTGATATTTTTCCACATACATCTGATGAAACAATTTGGAGAGGTCTAGAAGGCTTTCTTTCTTCTGGTGTATTACAATAAGGAAGCTTGGTCTGTTTCCCTTTAATGCATATGTCACACATAGTAACTGGATACTTAGAAGAATGCCCCATTCTCCGGTGCATCAATTATTCATAGTTGAAACGTTGGCATTTTCTAATAATAATTTGAGCTTGATAACATATAAACGTCCAAATACTTGGCCTTTCAAAATTTTGTTTTTGAAAATAATTTTTACATCCTTTTTCTTCTAATTTTCGAACTGATAATAGATTAAACGAAAGATTATTACATACCAAAACATCATTAATCCGTATGGTGTCACCAAAGTCAGATAAGCACGAAATAGTACCCTTGTTTACAGCTTTTATAGTTTCCCCTGCCTTGGCTACACTAATTTCCATGTCCAAATCAATTAAGTTAGTGACAAATTTTTTTAAACAATTTTGTATAAGATGGCAGCTAGCCCCACTATCGATAACAAAAACAATGTCCGTCAACTGTTCAGAACACAGCGACATTTCTCTGTTTACTTTGGAATTTTCAGAAGTAAAAAATGAAAAATCCTCTTCTACAGCAGCTGCCTTCTCTTTGTTTCGATTCATTAACTTAGGGCAATATTTTTTCGTATGACCCTGAGCCTTGTAATACATATTAACATATGAAAACGTTTTTTGATTTTGAGAATGGATTACCTTGGTTTCTATTAGAAGAAAATGCGTTGTGAGGCTGAGACCCTTCCTTTTTCAATATTCTCTCTTCTTCAGCTAAAAGAGTATTTCTTACGTAATCCAAAGTTATCTCAGTCTGTTTACTGCCACATAAAATATCAAGAGCGGAAACCACTGATTCAAATTCGGGTGGCATGGCGCCCAATAACTGATGTATGACATCTTCACTTTCTAACTTACCACCAGCCATCCTTAGTTCAGCTGCCCTAGTCTCGAATTCTTGAAGAAATTCCTGAAGAGGTTTCTCGAGCTTATATTCCATTTTTCTCCATGATTTCTGTGCCATCACAACACTCTTCATTCCGGTTTTCTCGTAAGTTTTTGACAGAGGGTCCACGATTTCTTTTGCTGAAGTTTTATCTTTTATTAAAATCAGGATGTTATCAGACATGCAACCAATCAAAATAGACCTTGCCTTAACATCAGCGGTTTTGAAAGTTTTTAACTCTTTGGCATCTGCAGGAGGGTTCTCTGTAATTACATAAAGTACTTCGTTCTGTTCCAACACCAATTTTATCCGAAAAAACCAATTTGCAAAATTTTGTCCATCAAATGGTTTAACACCAAACACACCGACCGGTAAAACATTTGAAGTCATATTTAAAACCGACCGAAAACGAAAGCGAAATACAATAGTCCAAACCAAACTCGTGAACACGTGTGCTCTCTAACCACAACCACATCCCGAAACTTTCACAACGAAAGAATAAACATTTCACTGCTGGGCCCATAACCTATTAAATTAGGGTTAAATAATTAAGCAGTAGTACAAAATCAAGAAAATGTTTATTATCTAATGTAATACACAAAGCACAAAGTTAGAGACACATTGGCGAGAGCACAAAAAAATAACAGAGCAGTACAACATCGAACCTTCCTCTTATCAAGACAGTGTTGCCTTACAAAAATACAATCAATTATTGTAGAATTGAACACTAACAAAACATTCATAATAAATTCGTAATGTCAATAATCGGTTCCATAATGACTTTTTTAAATATAAAATATTGAATAAATATAACATCACTCCTCTATATTTATAAACACGAAGTTTATATTCAAGCAGTTTCCATTACTTTTTTTTGGTAGGAGGCGCGCAATTTCTAGAGTCATACTCTATGGTATATTGCAATTAGAGAGAAATAAAGAAAGAAAAATCTTGAGGGCCTCATAGTCTAATTTCAGTTCAGAGTTAAGTACAGCCCGTAGCAGTGCACTATTTGCTTTAGTGAGTACGTGTCAAATATTTGTATGAACAATTTTGGCTTATAGTTAACCACTTAAGCCGAAGATTGAGGATATTAAACTACAGGTTTAATGGCATACGAGCTTTTTACTTCCTAGTATAGTTTAATACATTAGCTTACAGAATTGTTACGCAAGGGCGCCAAAATTAACGCTTTTTCTGCTTTCGACCCCGTTTCATCTTTAACCACTTTCTTAAACAAAATTTTCACTAATGTTTCAAAACTCACGTACATTCACTAATAATCTTAAACAACATCTTGTCAACCTGTCCTATCCTGATACAAAAAATATTTTAATTGTGCAACAATAGTTTAATTATAAATTGTGTTATGTAGAAATTATTGTCAAGTACAGTTACCATGACAAAAGAAAGAGATTGGCTGCCCACGACACAGGGATTCCTAGTGCACTTTATTTTACTTAAATATTCTTTTATCGTGAATAATAAAGATTTTTTTTTATGGCTCTGGCACGGTTTGTGCATTAGCCAGCGTCAAATATAAGATTTTTTATAATTAGTGCTTGCCTTTAGAAATTCGACCGTGTCCTCCGTGTACGGTTTAAGCACTCGCCCGGTACCGCACAACCCTCCCAAAGGCCGAGAAAAAATTTAAATTAAATTAAAACTTGCCCTCGAACCAGGAATTGAACCCTGTACCCCTCACCTAGCTGCCACTTAATAAGACCGCTAGGCTATGAGGCCCCCTATTTTGCAATTATTGCCAAAACCAAAGTCGGACCAAATCTTAAACAAAAGCTTTGCAAACTTGTGTTGACAGTTGAAATAATAAAACAAGATATCTTTATATAATTGGACGAAAGTGTTGCCAAGTAGGAAGTGTTGATAGAAAGATTTTATAGTATGTTTACGCATTTATTGTGCCAAAAATAACCAATCATCCTAAAGTGTTCGATCACGCGCTACAATAATATATTATTAGTTATTTATAAATAGCTTTATCACTTGGCAATCGTGGCTATACGCTACGGTTTGCGTATGTCGTGAACTTTCTTGTTGTCAATATCGTTAAGAATAGAAAATCTGTATACTAAAGGTATGCTTATATTTGTTCTACTATTACGCATGTCAGGGAATGAGAGGAACAGGTATAATAAAAAAATGAAAAAAAAAATGTATTTATTCATTTTAAGTACATATGCATTACAATGTGTAAGATTTGGGAACTCTTTTAAGTAAGAAATACCTGTGTCAGGGCTCCCAGCTCTTCCATAACAAACTTAAGTATAAATTCCTTAAAATATATTTATATATAATTTAATTACATCTTTTATTTTATTTTATTTACTTTTTAACTGTTATCAAGACGCCTGAGTGCATGAGTGAGTATGTGAGTGTGTGAGCAAATGTGTAAGTGAGTCAGTGATTGAATGAAAAAAGTGTGTAACTACACACTAGGTCTCAAAAGCATCTCTAACATTTGACTAATAAGGGGCACAGAAATGAGGGTGGCACCTAAAAAATGACGATGTAAGGATCATACATAATATGAGAGCAGGGCCACGTGGCGACTCTAAGTCGTGGATTCGAACCGTGGGACTAATACGTCACCAATTGACTTTATTTCTTTATTCATTTCGTAATCCTACAGCTAACATAAATTATATGTAATAACATACAGTTACACTGAAAATATAGCCAGATATGGAATACATAATACATTTAACTACAAAAAGTCTCAAATTTACAAAAGGAAACAAACAAATAAAAACTATTCAATACATTTAACTAAGTGGTACCTAATTTGGCTGTGTTGATGGTGTAAAAGTGAGGGTATGTACGTGAAGGTGTGTATGTGGGGTATGTTCATCATGCAGGTGATTTTGCGTTATGGATATTCTTAATACTTCTTTTAAGCATATTCCGCGATAGCTTAACACTACTTTTAAGCATATATTTTATTTATAGTTCGTTGTAGTAATACAGAAATATAGTACAATTAAAATAATTAAATAAACAGGAGGGCCACTGGCGGCCTTATCGCTTTTGAGCTATAGTTTCCGAGCAACGAATGTGAGAGAAAAAAAAACATAGAAAAGGTGACCGCAAGAAGTGCAATACTACATAAGACATTGAATTACTTGGGTTAAAATGAAACAAAACAATATATTATGTAAGCAGTGAAAGGAACAGTAACAAAAAAAAAGGTGCGTGTACTTAGGTATGTACGCGCGTAAGAAGTTATACTTCTTTGGCATTATTAAAAATAGTTTTTGATTGCAAGCAAATAATTAATTACCATTAAATAATCAAAGAGTGAAAAAGGAGTCATTATAGTCAATAAATTTCAGTTTACATTTGAAAAATTAAATAAATAAATATTTATTATTATTCTCTTACATTAAGTGTAACATAAATTCTATTATTATTCGAATGTTGTTTTTAAATTATGTCCAATGCCGTAGCATCTTCCGTGGGCAACTTCATTCTGTTAATTGTGTGTCACGGTGCGCGCGCATCGTAAAATTTCACCCTCATCAATTTTTCATAACGCGCCTAAAGAAGTATAACTTCAAAATGACACATTAATCACGATAACTTCACATCAGTTAGTACAAAAGTAGGATGTGGACAGATAACGTCTGTACAGTAGATATTTAAAGGGAAACGCATTTTACAGTCGTTCAAACGGTGAAAGAAAACATTGTATCAACCTTCATTGGATCCGAAAATCGACGTCACCTTCATGTAAAATGATCAAGAATCGTTGACATTTATTCTAAGAATTCTAAGAAAAAAATATTTTTAATAATCTGTAAATCTTTACAAAACGATTCCATTCAAGGGAGAAGTTACATTGTCCGAAACGCTTCTATAGGGCATCCTACTTCGCCAGGCATAAGAATATTACACATACAGTGGCAATATCCTGTTCTATGTAAAATTGTTACCTTAAAAACCTGAGGAGGTTTTATATTATCCTATTTCACCATGCCTCCTGGTGATAGAGGACAAGTCTTTGTTTTTTTTTTAATTTATGTTATTATTATTAATTACTTGATATGTCATGTGGAACATGGTGTAATGGTGGCAGCTCCTTACAAACGTTGTGTAAAAAAAATGGCGATTAAAAAGAGTGGCGGAGAGTTTATTGCCAGTTCTTCTCTTCCGTTCTACGCCCTTGATTTGAGAACTGGCAGTAAATGTAAAATTAGAAGCATTAATATGTATTTCTTTATTGACAAGTCATAAGTGTACAATATGTTCCCTATGTGATTAAATGTTTTTTACTTTACTATTTTGTCGGTTTAAAATGTCTTGACTTTTTAGCTTCTTTTTTTATTATTGAATTAGTAGGTACAATTAATCAAAGTTTGCACGTGTTAATGTAAATACTACATACAACTAAATACCACGTAAGTTTAATTTATGTTTATGTTATACAAGATATAGTCGTTCAGCGCTCTGTTACATTGAAACAATATTCCCGATAATTTTGCTCTGGGCATGGAAGTCACCCATATATTGAGCACGGTTCCTGGCTCATCGGGGTGCTTTGAATAATAGAGGATTTTAGTTTTACTCTATATTAACCACTCCCGTACAACAATAGATATAACCGAAATAATTAAATGTTAATTGCTATGTATCGAATGAATACTACTAACGAATATACTCTCTGGGCGTAACTCCGAGGATTGAGGAAATAGTCACTCTTATGAAACTAAGAAAGCCTGAGTGAGCAAAATGTAAAGCTTTGGCTCGTACATATTGAAAATCTCATATCAAAATAACACTAATTATTACGACACTAGACGGATTAAAGCGAATTTATTATATTGTTTACATAACTAATAATTTTAAGCAATTATCCGTTTTTGACCCTCGCTTCAATCTTGACAGATGAAAATCGCTGAGTTCCTTGATGTTACATGAATGTTAATTAATAATATGCCATTTAAGAATGAAAGAGCCCCCAATGAAGCGTCAGGTAGGTCATTGCAATCAAGTTTATCTCCTGTTATTTTAATAACTTTTCTGTACAGGCAAGTAGACATTATATAATCTATCCTATGTTGGGCTTTCATGGAAAATATATTTGAATTTAGCAATTCATTAACCAGAAGGAAGTCCAAACCTTTATTTATTTTTGTTTATTTACACTTCGTTGCAAATAAAAGAAACACAATACAAAAAAATTATAAGGGATGCAACGGGCGGCCTTATCGCTAATAAGCGATCTCTTCCATTATTAATAATAGACCTTTAGGAGGCGTATTTGTTATTTTAAATTTGGAATCTGTAAGAATGTATTGCAAATATAATTACAGACGTTTTAGACATTTCGTTAAATTTTGGCATTGATATATTACGCTCAGGTAAAAGGAAGTTTTCAGCTCCTAAACAAGTAAAGTAAGTTAAATTGAAGTTCTTGTTTACTGCCCTTCATCGGTAAAAGTTTGAAAATTCACGGTTAGCTGCTTATAGATCGTAAATCTCACGGGAGATTATCAGATATAATAAGAATCGTGTCACCGTCTGGCAAAACTATAAATTTACATCGGGCCTACATGGAGTACTGTTCTCATCTCTGGGACCTTCCCAGTACCAGCTCCTTCCTTGACCGTATTTCCGAACCAATTAGATTTAGGGTCCTTCAAGAAAAGAGCGTACCAATTCTTTTAAGGGCGCCAATGCACTAGCAGTCTTCTGGCAATGTGTGTCCATGGGCGGTGTCACTTAACATCAGATGAGCCTCCTGCTCGTTTCCCCCCTGTAATTTATAAAAAATATAATAAAACAAATTAAATAACACAAAACTCGGTGATTAAGTTACTTACTTTTTAGTTTCCACTATTATACACAAGGAAAATACCCATTATGCTTGTGAAATTTCTACTCACAAAAAGACCTTGAAACCTTAACAGATATTCTTACATTAAAATAAGCTCATGATGATTGATCATTTGTTTTGAACTTACGATGCCAAAGAGACACACGTCACACTTGTAATCCTTCCTGATATTCTTCATGTGATAAGGACCTGATGTACTGAAACAACTATTAATACATAAGGTAATTACACCATGAAATAATTTTTCTCTCTATCTAAAAAAGACATTTTGATGAAGGGAATTCAATTTTTCACCGATAAATCCAATTCAGTTTAAACAAATCTCGAAACTTAAACAACCTCGACACCTATTGACGGACAAAATGGCGGATGTTTATTATCCGTTCTACGTATTTCTTGAAATAAGATTACTTTACTATTGAGGTCTGACAAAATATGAAAAAAAATTGACAGTTAATTAAGACAATTTTAGGGATAATTTATTTTTTAAGCATCAATTAGAGTAGTTCAGTTAAAGAGACGTTTAAATAACTAGTTAGACAATATTGGTAAGCGGTCTTTGTTAAGTAATGATAATAAAAAGCAAGAGTTTTGAGAATAATTTTGAAAGGCGCTTGCAAAGCTATAAGTAGAAATCTACTTAGTATGTAAATTATTATTAGCGATTATAATTAACTTGTAAATTGTCTGGAATTGTCTTATAATTAGTCCTTATTGTATTAAGATGTTAATTACAAAGTTGTTTGCTTTTACAGAATTGCCTTCATCTGTTTCTCGAACAAAAACCTTTTCCAAACTCCCGACAATATGTCAATTGTCACCCTTTGACAAGTCATGTTACGTGGTTAATTTTACCAACTCATCTTCTGAATTATATTCCCCTTCTACGTCTTTTTAATTACATTTAAGACGTTGTTATTGTGTCATCTGTCACCGTAAATCTATTAAGGGTAATTTTAACACGTCATAATTTGTGATTTTTTTTTATGGCTCTGGCACGATTTGTGCATTAGATTTTTTTATAATTCGTGCTTGTTTTTTAGAAATTCGACAGTTTAAGACGGTTTAAGCACTCGCCCGGTACCGCACAACCCTCCCAAAGGCCGAGAACAAATTTAAATTAAATCTTGCCCTCGAACCGGGAATCGAACCCGGTACCCCTCACCTAGCTGCCACTTAATAAGACCGCTAGGCTATGAGGCCCCCAATATAACGTTTTATTAGTAAATAAATCTGTATAAGAGCCGAGAAATTAATATTTGACAAAGAGTTTTTATGCTTGTACCATAGAATATCATAACCTAAAAATGTAATTCCGCGTCCCTTTCAAAAAGTGACGTAAAATATTTACCGCCATTTTATGTCAAAGCAAACAAATATTCGCGTAATATTTTATCTTCGAAGCAGTGACAACCATAAAGGAAGGCCATAAATAACTGGCTCTATTAGATGTCGTCTATGTCAATGCAAAACCATAAACTATGTCGAGATATAATATTAAAAAGTCCGAATATTCGAAATGAAATTTTTATTTTGTATAACATAATTAAAAAACTATGGACCAGTTTTATAAATTACCGAGATAAAGCTATATTATAATTCAGTTTTATAGAAAATCCTTATCATTCAACCGCATAAAGCAGCTGTTTTTTTTAAATAAATGTACCCATATTTTACTCACAAGCAACGGTGAAAGATTAACAAATTGGTATCCTTTTATGGGATATTTCCAAGCGATGTCATGGCAAACTCAAAACAGACATTGAACCAAGACTCTCCTTGAAACCCTTATAATTTATGAAATTGAAATATTTTCGGTTTCAGTATCCTATCTGAGCGATTTTAGTTATATTTCTCATATTTAATTTTATACATTTTAACCAAATGCTCGTATCTTGAGGTGACAAAGACGGCGTGTCATTCGGAAGTATTTCTATTTCGGCACGGACGTCTCGCTACAATGATCGGTACAGTTATTACCGGTCAGTGACAGTGGCAATCGCATTTTTTTTATTTCGTCTAATTAACCCAAGTGCAATGAAAAAACATTTATATGGCCTTTGATTTGACCTTTAAATTACCATACCACCATAAACAAAAGTAAAAAAACAAAAGTTGTGAAAACATTAAAAATATAATGCACACTACACTAATTATACCTTCTAATGTTTATAGATGACACGTTAGTATCAAGCAGATGTTTTTTAAATCGAAAAATGAAATAATTCTTTATATCTGGGGATTAGTAGCACACAATTTTTATGTGTACTTCACAGAAAATAAATATCCTTCAATCCTTCTATATATACTTAAATGTTATAAATGTCATTGTATTAAAAGCACAAAACGGAACGGACGGAACAAGAATCATGACCCCTCCTGAAGCGTGAAAATATCGCTTTATTTTAGCATAATACTGTTTACATAAAAAGCTATATTGTTTAGTTATATTTAAAGAAGTGATTCATGAATGAAGTTAGTAAAGATTTTATTCCTAGTTAAATTTTGGTACTTTCAAAGGCAAATTAAATAACATACCACAGTCGCATTAGATTGTGCGACTCTACCGTTTGCTTATTTCGTAATAGCCCTCCGGGATTTGGCGTCTCGTTCGTCTGCTCTTCCCTCTGTCCCTCCTCATTCCTCAGTTGTCCCCGTGACCGCAAACGTACTTTTCTAACCGCTGCGCCGGCGCAACGTGTCTAGTGAGTCAAGAGTTTTGTGTCAGTGACACGTGCCGTGTCGTTTTAATATAAGTAATAATTCGTTTTAAAGTGATTAAAACCAAACATGTCGTGTTATAAATAGTATGAAGGTCATATCACCAAGTTGACTCAGCCAGTGTCAACTCATGAAATAAGTTTAGATATGAATTTAATGTTCGATTTAAACTACACATGTATTGTTATAAATATATTTGAAACATAACAAGAGTCTTTATAAAACTCTACGCAAAAAACGAAGTGAAATCTAATAATCTACCGGCCTTTAATAGCGAGTCATAGTTGATATCAAATTTGGTGAGGGTTATGTGTGCGATATCAGTGTTTGCCTTTTGATAAATTTAACGCGCGCTCCATAGACTTAATTATCATAAAATCAAACAGGTGCCTCTTCAAGTCAAGTGCGTTTAAAGTTTAATTTGTGGTTCGAAGCGTGATCGAGTTGGCCGTGACGTGCGTTGATAGTGCGACATGTTGATACATGGTGCTGTGAAGCCTATAAAACGAAGGCGCTTAGGTATTTTAAGAATTCCATGCTCGCTTGGGGAGCAGGGCGAGGGTCGGCCGGCCCCTCGCTGCCCCCCAAGAAACCAGAACTCAGCGATACGGACAGCGAAGCCCAGAGCGCGCTGCTCACCAGCGCCGCCGCCCTGGCTAGAAGACGGCGCGCCGTAAAATTAAAACGAAAGATCACCTTCAAAGTTTCAAGGTTCGTTATTTAGTTGTAAGCCGGCCTTTATACGGCTACTGAATTCGTGATAAACCAATTCGAACTTATTGTTAGAATTTTAGGTCAATCGATGTGGTAGGCGATATGCTAACAAAACAAGCGCAATTCTAATAGATATATGAAATTTGTCGGCGCTGTTCCATAAAATATTCATTTAGGTTCTAATTACTTACGTATCGATTTTTACTTGTTGTTTGTAGTTTAATATGCGCAATGTACATTGTTCATGTTATAATATTAATCGTGGGTAATGTATGTAACCTTTGCCCTTGCTTTGATCTATAAACGTAATTTTCTTTAGAGATTCTATACATGTATGTGAAATCTAGGCAGTTTTATAAAATTAATTTAATGTATGACATTTGAGTGGACCCAACTAAAAAGTTTATTGTTAATTATTTTCTTTATAACGATCAGGCCAAATTCGTGTGAAATGTTTATAATTTATTAGGCAAGGAGCGGATCGCTAACAAGCGGTTTCTTCCAGGCAATCCTAGTAACGAAAAACAAAAGAAATACATACTGACTACTGAGGGTAACGTGCAAGAAGTGTACTAAACATTCAAACGTATTTACATACTGTAATATTTTACGATACAATTTATTTTATGAGTGGTTTTAATCTACCGGAAACGTGTATTATTTTTGTCTTTGAGCGTGCCACTGATTTATTTTGACATATGTCAGACATCAGACTGATCGCTTCTTTCTCTATAAAAAAAATAACAAAGAAACAGATGAAATCCTATATGGAAAAGACTGTAGCGCCATTGGATGATTATTTTATTACACATCTGTTAAACGCAGGCATTTTTCTGGCTATTAATGTAAAATAAAGCTACGATAGTTCTTAGTCAAATACAATTATAAGATAAAACATCGCACAGTTGAAGAATGGCATCCGTTGTGATTCACGTAAGCTGCTTATCATTCCGAGCACGCCAGCAACAGGTAGAAATGCCGGCTGCGGATATTATCGCACAATCTTTATATTAAACTGGTATATTACATAAACGCGAACATGATTTTGGTAATTTTATGATGAATTAATGTTCTGATATCAGATTCAGTCGGGAAGAATCAGATTTAAACAAGATTGACACATACAAGTCCAATTTACATACGATAAATCCTATTCGCTAAAACACGTGAACTAGAAAGAAATATCAAGAAAGCGAAAGTAGGCCTTAGAAAGAACATAACTAAAATACTGACATACTGGGCACTAGCTGTTACAAGCAAAGTTAAAAAGCAAGCCGAATACCTTAACAGGAAGCCGTTTCAAAATGTAAGCAATTACATAGGTGAAAAACAACAGATGGAGCGTGGTAAAGTGTATTAATATGAGCTGAAAAAATCCCCCTTTTTTTTAAAAATGTAGTATGAGGAAAACGGGCAGGAGGCTCACCTGATGATGTTAAGTGATACCGCCGCCCATGGACACACATTGCCAGAAGTCTCGCAAGTGCGTTACTGGCCTTTTAAGGATTGGTACGCTCTTTTATTGAAGGACCCTAATTCGAATTGTTTCGGAAATACTTCAGTGGGCAGCTGGTTTGGAAAGTGATGGTGCGCGGCAAAAAATAAAATAGATATATTGAAAGTACCTCGGGGAAGAAGGATAGAAGTTATCCACTTCTAGATAGAAGATATAGAAACGAATGGAGGAAGAAAGCCATGGATAGGTTTGTAAAAGGCTGGAGGAGAACTTTACCCTAAATTGGTCAATGGAATACACCACGAGTAATAAGAGAAAGAAATATAAAACAAATCAATGTAAATTGTAAACAATTTATTGTTAATAAACGAAACATTATACACAATATTGTTCTAATACCAATATACGTAGAACAAAAACAATAGTTATCCAAATTTAAGTAAAGAACGTAAAATGGTCTTGATGTTAGATCTGTGTTTTCGTCTCTTTCGTTTCATTATCATTACACAAAGTGACGTGTTGTCAATATTTCTCATATAGTGGAATCAATAAAAAATAAAGTGCTACTTCAAATTTGGTCTGGGCCTCAGATTCCTGTTTCGCTATCATTTCTATTGTCTAATAGCCAGACACACACCGTCGACTTGGACGTCTAAAGGCCCATTTAGATGGAGATAGTTTCTCGCACGTTTTGGTAAAAATCGTATAATAATTTGGTAGAAATCGGACTCGACTATCACCAGCAATAATGGCCGTAGCATTCGTATCAAAATGTTTACATACAGGCAACAACTAAATTCTCGCCTACGATTATGTCATACGAGATTCGCCAGGGATTTATCGCTAGGTGATCATTTCCTGCGTCTGTTTACACATCGACATTTTAGTAAGAAGATTCTTACTTACGAGAATCTCGACTAGTATAAACACGATCTCGTATGACATTTTTTATGTTCATACGAAGAACGACGGAAAAAATTAATACCAAATGTTGTAACGACACTTTTTTGCTATTCGCTATTGTAATACACCGGTTCTCGTCCGATCACCGAAGTTAAGCAACGTCAGGCGAGGTCAGTACTTGGATGGGTGACCGCCTGGGAACACCTCGTGATGTTAGCTTTTTTTTCGTAGCGTTAAGAAATGAAAATTATTTCTGGAATCACTTAACTAAATTAGTCGTAGTAAATATACACCAGAATCCCTGTACAATAATCGCGGGGTCTTTAGTTTCCTTGCAAAATACAATACCTACCTTTAAAAAATACTCAATATAATAAAAAGATAATGTATCAGGAAAATGTCATGCAATTCTGCGAATTCAAAAATGAGGGATCTAATATCACAACGAGAACAGCTTATACAAGGAGATGAACCAGATGAGACTGAATAAAACATCTGAAATACGAAATATGCTTATTAATTGTGCCACTTAATTTATATTTAGGTTATTTTACTATTTAATCCCTGCGTAGCACAACGCCATCATACTTCTTCCTCTTTTAGATTCCTGGTCTCTTAAAACGTTAATAGACGATGAAATATAATATTGGTGTCGAGAAAATCTATCATACTGTTATGATACCAATCTTAATATATATAAACTACGTGTCACGTTGTTTGTCCGCTATGGACTCCTAAATTACCGAACCGATTTCATTCAAATTAGCACACCGTGTGCAGTTTGATCTAACTGAAAAGATAGAATAGCTTAAATCTCAATTTATACCCGCAATATTATTTTATTGCAAAATAATTGTTTATTATTTGATAGTCACAATTCTAACAGATGGCGCTGTGTTGAAAGTACCAACATTTCACATAAGCTACAATTTAATGGCATTACCATCAAAAAAGCATGGTGGTCCCCATGACTGGTGTTCTCCTACCGTTTCCCTTGAATAGGTTACTTCTATGTAATATAACTAAAACCTTAGCCACAGCAACGCTTGGCCGGTCTGCTAGTTAAAATATAGAGTAATCGAAAGGAACTTCGTTCCATCCGGGTGACACTTGCCACCTCTCAAGTTTTTTTTTTATTTTTTTTTATGGCTCTGGCACGGTTTGTGCATTAGCCAGCCAGATTTTTTTATAATTCGTGTTTGCCTTAGAAATTCGACCGTGTCCTCCATGTACGGTTTAAGCACTCGCCCGGTACCGCACAACCCTCCCAAAGGCCGAGAACAAATTTGAAATTAAATTAAAACTTGCCCTCGAACCGGGAATCGAACCCGGTACCCCTCACCTAGCTGCCACTTAATAAGACCGCTAGGCTATGAGGCCCTCAAGTTTTTTTGTTATTGATACATTTATTACGCCATTTACTAAAGACAATAATCGACAGACGTAAAATTGCTGTGGTTGCAAAAATCGACCAAACAATGATTTATTGTTTACGTGAGAACAATTTAAATAAAAAATTCACGGATGAACCCTTCACGATTAATTAATTAATGTAAATCATTCGTATCGTGTGTAAATAAAGTAATAAAAATTCCGTATTTCACAAATTAGTTTACGCCTCGTAAACTTAACTCGGAATATTAACCCTAGAGTAGAAACCCGTCTTAAGTTCTTGAGTTTAAAGCCTTTTAAGTTAACAAAGTTAACAGCAATACTCCAGTTAGTTTCTTTGTTTGTGTAACTTTGAAGAAAAGTTTTAGTTTTTAATTGCTTTCATTAAAGTAGTTTTCTGATAAATAGGGATTACATTCCTTATAACTTTCTTAATGAAATTATACTAATATAATTATTAAGCCTTTATTGCTGACACCCAGTATAATATTAAACACTTATCTAAGTTACATACCCCCACATGATCTGATACAACATATGAGCCGGTTTTGGTAATCAGCGTGTCCTGTGACAATAGGCCTCTTCCAGCTGCTTCCATTCTTTCTAATGTTAGCTCTTCTTGTCCGAGTTCTTCTATTCTCTTTATATCGTCTGCCGTCTCTAGTTATGTGCCCGGTCCAGCGCCATTTCCTTAAGACTAAACAGATATTGAGGTATACTAATATAGTTCTATAGAATTTCGTAAACATCACCTTGATGGCTGGAAGTCTTCCACAGTCCGTTTCACAAGGCAGTCCGTTTCTTTTGCGAACTAGCGAACTGTGGAATTGACTCCCGGTCTTCCCTGAGAGATACGACCTCCAACTATTCAAGGTTAGAGTGTACTCCTCCCTCAAAGACCGGCAAAGCACCCATTAAAAATAGGTGTCTATGGGCTGCGATGACTGCCCTTTATGGGCTAGTTTCCCCCCCGCTAATTATTAAAAAAAATAGAAGACAAGATTTTCTGAGTATAATTAATAAAAAAAGTGTGTGTGTGTCAGCTACGACGCACGATTGGAGTTTACTCCTTACGAACGATAAAATGGCGATAATGTTCTGTGGCTGTCGACCATATTTTCATACTAAAGGTGGTAAGAATATATGTTTTTATAATATAAATGTTTGTAGTAGTAATAAAACGCACCTACATCATCGCACCTACATCATGCCCAAATAGGATTTTCTTTCTGTGACCAAAGTTACCTTTATAGTAAGAGAAGAATAAGAATGAACAATCTTTTTAGTTTTAATTTCACTGACCATTACTATTGACAAAACTCTATGGCACGCTAGACAATCTACTTTTATTTTTTACACCTGTCAACACTGACAATGTTGTAACGTGGCTGTCAAAACGTGAATTCAAAATAGAAAAGTCTGTGTAATGTATTCCATCTCATTCTTTTACACGTTCAATCCTACAGATATATATGTTTGTCTCTTTCTACATAACGCCTCAACTTTTCGTGTTACACTTGATTTTACTCCTCATAAAATTTCCGTACCGGGCCTTATAACTCAAATACTTTCTTAAGGAGTAAACTCCAAAAATATCAATACAATGTGTATAGCGTTAAACGGGCATACATTTAAACATATTACATAAACACAAAAACACACATTACAGTTAATGGTTATTGTGTTAAATTTTGTAAGTGTAGCTTTGTCCACAATTAAAATAAAATGATGTATATGCCAACTTAAGAAACAGCTTTATCACTTTAGGAGTTTTTGAGATATCTATCTATGCATTTATGAAGGACGTGTGTGATATATGTCAATGTCGACTGGAATTATTAATTTATGTTTTTCTTAATTACTTTTCTCAAAGAACTTATACACTAATAAATCAAGGAAAGTAGGAAGTCCGTCTCGTTTTTCAGTGGGGCAAACGGGCAGAAGACTCACCTGTAGTTAAGCGATAATAATAATATATAATAATAATAAAAACTTTATTAATGACAAAAGGGTTTGAGACAGAAATCATATACCTATCGCTAGTCCCCACACTAGGGAGGCCCTGTGTTGTGGGTAACTAGAAAACAATTATTTCGTGGTACATGTTTAAATTAGTTATAAAAAAAGATGATAATAAAAAAGGGTGCGTGTACTTATGTACGCGCGTTAGAAGTTATACTTCTTTGGCATTATTAAAAATAGTTTGGCTTTGTTCCACCTCCAGTTTTTGATGTTTCACAGCGATAAGATGACAACTCTTTTTTGTATTCAATTTAGTGCACTTACACTGATTCATCAATTGTTTTTTGTCTCTTGTCCTTATATTTGCTAGATTAAATCAGAAAAATTACATGTTTTGATTAAACAATGTGGTCATTTTTTAAATCAAAACATTACTCGATAATAATAATACATACGGATAGTTAACCTCAATTGTATTGAAGCACTTAGGAAGGTTGATCAGCACAGTTTTTTCACAAATATTAATTAGTATTGGTTTAAATATTCAATTTAAATCACTTCTGATTATAATTCAAAAAGCATTGCTAAATTTCTTTGAAAAAATAATTAAAACTCCTTTATTTGTTTAAAAGGTAAATGACAAAAGTCATTATGGTCATTCAAAATTCTTGGCATACGAACTTCACGCATATTCTATTTCTTTTTACTTGTAGATTGTCTTATTCCTATCTCGCTCGCGCACGCTATAATCACACTCCTAATTTTGTGTCACAGGTGCGCGCGCATTGTAAAATTTCACTCTCATAAATTTTTCATAACGCGCCTAAAGAAGTATAACTTCAAAAATAAAAAAGAATAATAATAGTTATAAATTTAGTGTTACAAATGAAGTGAATGAGTGAGTGTGTGAATAGGTGTGTATGATGTATATTATGATCGTGCACGGTGTCTGTGTAAGTTTATGAAACCTAAATATAATAATATGATATACTCTCATGTTCACTCTCAATGTCAGAGGGCTAGCAAGTTGGGCTTTTAAGAATTGGTACGTTCTTTATTTGAAGGATAGAGTCTAATTGGTTGGGAGTTCTACCCAAAGTAAAAAGCCGATACTCTACCGTCATTGGCCGTAGAAGTTTTTAAATAGTGTTTAAATGATGACGATTTACAAATTTCATAATTTAAATAATCTCGCGACCTATTGACAGATAAAACTATGAGTTATAGCTTTACACTTACTCTTCTACTTCCAATATGGATACCAGCAGCTAACCCACTCTCAGAGATGAATTTCTGTTCCGAGCGATTTTAAGTTTGTGACATCAGGATATTGAGAAAACTACATCGAACTTGCATACATAGCGCAGAAAAAAATCAGATTAGGGTAAAAAACCGCCTTCATCCGGGGAAGGTGTCTTCATCCTTCACTCACGCCAGTGAGCTTTCGTCCCTTCAGGAAATTGACCACGACGGCTCAAGCCGAGAGAGTCTCGTGGGAGACGCCCTTGCGCGGGACAAGCCTATTTCCGGCCGAGCTCGAACTTAAAACCGCCCGAGCAGAGCTGGCCCTACAGGCCAACAGCGATTTTCGATAAAAAAATTAACCCTCGCTATTGTGTGTTGCATCATTATATATATAATTCTACTGTACGTGTGTATGTCACTGAACTCCTCTTAAACGTCTGGACCGAATTGAATGAATTTTTGGCGCCCTGGATGGTTTGGATTCACAAATCTGCCCAGCAGATGACGCTGCTGTCGGTATCTAGGTTATTTATCTATACAGCAAATAAACAGCTGGTATACATATAAATCTTCAGTGCATGTTTTGGTAATTTAACTCCTAAACGGCTGGTCAGATTTTTTTTGTAAGACGTGTGTACAGGACGTCTGTCGGATCCGCTAGTTTATTTACTAATTTATTTTAAATGGACAGTCTATTGGAATGTCTAAATGGAAAAAAATAATCTTCGTAAGTTAGTTCATTCCACAATGAGTAATGCTAAACCATACTTATTGAACTATATGATAATCAAGTTGATAGACAGATATTCGGTTCCTGATAGGCAATAATATAGGTATTTAATATTCGGGCAAACTTTAATCAAAACGGTCCTCTGGAACGTCATTCAGGCAAATTGATAATTAAATTGTACTGCCAATTTTGTGCGCTCTTACTGCGATGTGTACACCTGCCCCAATTTTTGGATTGGGCATTATATTGGCATCTACAGCTCAACAGTTTTTTCAATATACTTTATTTTATTTAATCTTGACTTATTTTTCTTACTTATTACAGTTTTAGCTTCCTTATGTTTTACTTTGCGAGCTACTAGACGAGCTGTGTTGTTCTAGTGGCTTCAGCGAGTGACTCTCATTCCTGAGGCCGTAAGTTCGATCGCCGGCTGAACACCAACGGACTTTCTATGTGCGCATTTAACATTCGCTCGAACGGTAAAGAAAAACATCGTGAGGAAGCCGGCTTACCTTAGAACCAAAAAGTCGACGGCGTGTGTTACAGATACAGAAATCTGAGACCCAGACTGATTTATTTATTTTATTTTTTACTTTACGTATGATTGTGGCTCCGAGAGCTCTAGATGTCTTATTTTCAGAGGAATTCATTACTTTTGATCGGTGATCAGAAGGCTGTCACCGTATAGATCTGTAGAACTGAGTTTGTAAGTGACCTGGGATTATGCACAAATATCGTTTTAGTCGTGAAAACCATCACTTTTACTAATAATAGAAAATAGTTTCTGCTATATTTATTTATTTAATAGCACCAACAACCACGTGTTTGCCTTCCCTATTATTTATTACTACCATTGCTAAGAACATAAAGTCCAGTTATGCGTTTAAATTTTATTTTTCTCGCCGTATAACCCCAGTGAGGAATTATTCATATTTCCGGGATCCAGAAGGGTTCATCTCGAGAGACCGAGCCAGGTTTGAGGTTGGAGATTTTGACGGTGTTATTATAATTTCTATTAAAAATATTGTCTTACCGGTACCTCTCGGCGGGGCTAGCCTTAATAAATAAGCTTTTTTTTAGTTTATTATTATAATTATTTGTTGAAGTTATACTTGTTTTGGCGCGTTAGGGAAAAATGATGAGAGTAAATTTTTTCTATTGTTAGTGTCGTTTTTTCTAACGTACAATAAGGCGAAAATAAAGTTTTTGAAAAGATTTTAATCTTGTTACGCCAAAGAAGTATAACTTATAACGCGTACATACGTACATACGTATAAGTACACACGTATAAGTACACACACGTTTTTTTTTACAGTTTCTGACAAATTCATTGTGAACCAAAAACTTAGCGATTTTTAAATCAGTTTCTTGCCAATTCTTCTCGCTCTACGCCCTTGATTTGGGAACGTGATAGTAAATATAAATTTAGATTTCCTTTTTTTAATGTGTACATAGTTACATTTGATTTGGTAATAATAATTGTACTGTAATTATACCGTAAAATATCATCCCGTAAAAAATATCATCTAGTTTTTAAGTTTATCGAATTTACACGGCTGACAGAATCGGTCCGAGGACTTCATTATATAATATTGCAACCACTGACATTCACAATTGAACATTGTCAAAGAAACAAATGGAGAAAGCTGCGGTCTTTTAGTCCATATTGTGTGATTTTTGTTGTTTCTTAGGGCCCGTAAACAGTTATTTCTAAAAGTCGTTAACAACATTTAATGGCCCCCATATGAAGCGTAAACGTGAACATATTTTTTTATTACGTTAATGATAAAACGGGGAAATAATTACATAATATTAACATTTAAGTCACGCAGAGATAACAAGTTTAATAAAAACTATATGTTAAGGTGTATAATGTTAATTATAAAATTGACGCTATTAATTGAATAACGCATATTATATTGTATTTGCGTTAAATTCTTTTAAATTAAACTTATTTGCATGACTAGTCGTTCCGACGCAATATCAGCGAGTGCCACATCAAGTTTACAGACAAGTATTTGATATGAAATGTTGCCTTTGGTGGTCGCCATCCATAAAACAAGTATTGAAGGTGTAAGAAATTCGCGTTTTGTAGAAGTTTTATTTCGATTAGTTTTTACATTTGAGTGAGCAGTGTTGGCCTAATGGCTTCAGCGTGCGACTCTCATTCCTGAGGTTGTAGGTTCGATCCCCAGCTGCGCACCAATGGATTTCCTTTCTATGTGCGCATTTAACAATCGCTCGAACGGTGAAGGAAAACTTCGTGAGGAAACCGGCTGGCCTTAGACCCAAAGTCGACGGCGCGTGTACACACAGGAGGCTGAGTAGGTGATCTAATTGCCTATTAGATTGACAAATGATCATGAAACATATTCAGAAATCTGAGGCCTGGAAAGGTTGTAGCGCTATTAATTTATTTATATTTTTTAGTATTTACATTTACGGTTAATCACGGTAGACCTACCGGTGATTAAAACTATGCGATACCGGTGATTATAACGAGTGGCGAATGCAATTATTCCGTTTCATAATATGAAAATGTATTTTTTGAATTTTTGAAGTGAAACTTCTTTGCGGATAAAACGCAATAATAATAATATTAGCGTCACGAAGATGCGCAGCGTTTTTGTCGAAGAAAAGGGAGAGCTATTGAGACCGATTGGGAGAGAGTGAGAAGAGCGAATTACCTTATAGAAATTCTATTTTTAAAATTAAAATTTCGTAAAGAAAATTTATGAAATATTATTTTATATTTTATGCACAATAATTTACTGAAATCTCAAACGACGGATTGGAAAATAAAATGCGACGTGTTTTTATTATCGAAGAAATAAAATATTAAATTTATAATTTGTAATAATCTTCGACACTTAATATTTCAATGACAATTAAGTACATTATATAATACTAATATATCTTCCTTTTTCCCTCCCTCTAAGTCTCGGAAATCTAAAGTTTTAGATTTGTATAAATATGAACAAGACTAAAAAATTAGTTTGCCAAAGAAGTTTCACTTCTGACATGTGTACTTTGTACGCACGCACTTTTTTATCGAAAGTTTTAAGTTGAATGTAATGTGAATCAATAATTGTTGCACACAAGTATGCACATAAAATACAAAAACGCTCATCGATCTAATCTAGGCAACCCGTGTTCTGTAAATATGAATGATTTTTACAGAACACGGGTACATAAACATATGACTTGTTGGCCTTTTGGTTTCGTAAGGGGGGTCATATCGTTGGATATAATATCTATATCTATATCTATATATATATATTATATTAATATTATATAAATAGAAAGAAAATAGATATAGATAGATATAGTTGGAAGGATCGTTGGCATCATAATTTGAACCAGTCTCTGACAGACATTTTAATGTCAGACTGGTTTCTCATAATCTATAAAATTTGATCTCGTAACCAATTTTTTCGTCTAACTTGTGCTTTTTATTAATAACATTTTCCAACACAATTTTATGGTCACAGCACAACCCTTTACATCATTTAAAGACTTAGCGCAAAGTTTTGTACGTCATAAATATAATGGATTTTGATATACACGACTCATAGTTCACGCTGTTTGTGAATTTTACCCTTAAACTACTCAGGAACATCCATCATTCGTCTATCTATAGGTGGTGGTATGTGGTATAGGAAATTCTTAGATTACCATTCACGAAAAATTACCCAGATATTTTGATAAACCTTTTATCTGAATGGAATTTGCGCTCGATAGACAGGTATGCGTGGAAGCTACCTATTGAGCTTTTCTCATAGATAAAATCGTATTAGCATTCTAATCAATTTATGCATTTATTTACGTAAATACAATGTGTTCTGAGTGGTAAATTATTTTACATAATTATGTTTCGAGTTCAGTGAACATAAATTGAAAAACAAAGTTGTTGTGTGATTTAAGGAGCTTACATTTAACGCAATTTTCTATTTAGTGTTTGAAATTTATTACAGATTTACCTGCTGATTTATCTTTTTTTTTATGGAACCGGGGGAAAACGGGCAGGAGGCTCACCTGATGTTAAGTGATACCGCCGCCCATGGATACTCTCAATGCCAGAGGGCTTGCGAGTGTGTTGCCGGCCTTTTAAGAATTGGTACGCTCCTTTCTTGACTTATCTCTGCCTTAGACAGTTGACACTTGGTATTGTTTTATCTATATATATATCGTTTGTCTCGCTAAAACTCGGGAATGGATTATTTTGATCTTGAATTATTTGTGCAAGGAAGATTAAACCGGTGAGAATCATGTATAATATATAATGAGCAATAAGCATATTAATATTTAGCTGGTAAATATATTAGTTGAGGTTTTTATTGACTGATACTGTATATCTTTAATTTGTAATTAAAGTCCTAAACCAATTTTGATGATTATTTTGTGTGTTTAAGTGGATTCGCGAATAGTTTAGATTAACAATTAGATGCTTTGTTTAAGAAAACACAGGACGTGGTCGGGTCCGCTAGTAAAAAATAAAACTGCACCGTTTTAATTAAAGTATTAATCCGTCTTTTCATGACAGCGTGCACATATTTATTTAATATAAATTGTCTCTTCACAGACAATATTTGAACATTTCGATCTATCCTTACTTACAAA